ATAAATAGTAACATTGCTTTGAATCTGAATCCCTTTTATGAAGTGTAAAATCACAGATCCTAATAAAGTGCTGTTTATATTTAATTCCATTTTCTCCCATCAATTGAAAAGCAACTATTAAAATTAAATGATGTTTTCTGATTGTGTCACATAGGAATATGCTGGAAAGTGTTATATCATAAGAATGCTTTATATGTTAAGGCGAATTCCTAGCTTTGGGAAGTGGAGGGTGTGCCTCCTAGTGGGACCACATCCATGGTTACTGAGGAGCTCTTCTCTGGCTGGTTTTCGCAGGCCCATATCCCCCTGTCCTCCTGCAACCCCATTTCACCTAGAAATTTGTAGCACTGGCAAGCACTGCCTGAAGCATTTTGGATCCATTGTACATTTGACTTATGTGGTAGATACATAATGGTTTGTCAATTTGAACATTAAGAGTGTAGGGGTAGGGTCTAGCTTGTCAATCAGATCACAGCCAATGAGGCCTCTGTGTGGGCATGGACTTCCCCTGAGAATTCTGGGAAATATGGTACTTCCACCTTGGAGGTGGGAGACACTACTCTGACACACCCTGGGAGACCCAGCAGCTGACAAGACACATGGACCCACCCTGATGCAGCTTTGTGTGCAGAGAGCCATGCAGAGACCTTTGTCAGCACTGAGATGTTTCCAATGCCACTGGATCCAAAGACTTTCTACCTACTGGCCTGTGATCTTCTACATTTGGCATCATTGCATGTGTTTTGTAAGTCTGAAGAGGACTTTATAGATTGGTATCGAACATATGGGCTAATATCGGACATATGGACTTCATCTGGACTGGGCTGGGATGTTTTCTCAATGTTCAATTGCTCTTGTATATAAATCTCTTATACAAATGTGTGTCCATGGTTTTGCTTCTCTTGTGTACCCAGACTAACACAACTTAGAATTGATTTTTGGTCATTGCACATTCAGAAACCTTTGCCAAATAGTTCACAACCCTACCATTCCATTAAGCAACCCCATACGCAGTCTCAACCCACAGTTTAGTAAGCTTTGCTGTAGATGACCAAATAGAGTATTACAATGAAATGTGCAAAGACCTGGAGTTAGAAAACCAAAAGAGAAGAACACTTTTGTCATTTCCCAAGCTGGAAGAACTAAAGAAAAACTGAAGCCAAGTTTTGATATATTGAAGGAGTCTATGGGAAAATACTGAACAAGGCAGGAAGCATCAAGGGAAGATGGAAGCGATACACAGTCACCGTACCAAAAAGAGCTAGTTGATGTTCAATCATATGATCAAGAACTAAAAAATCTTGCAGGAGACAGCCTATGAAGGAAGAAATCCAAGATGTAATGAAGGTTGATAAATAAGGCTCCAAGAATTGATGCGATCACAATTTCAAAAGTGATGCAATGCTAGAAATGTCCACTTAGCAAAGTCAAGAAATACGAAAGACAGCTAATGGCCAGATGATTTACAAGAGATCATATTGGTGCTCTTGCTATTATCTAACAGATAATAGAAATTATTAGTCAATATTATTAATGTTACATGTATATAAAATTCTGTAAAAGAAAATTCAAAATCAGTAAATGGCAAGGACATTACAAAAAATTCATTCAGAAGAGGTCATGGAAGGCAGCATGTTATTAATAATGTCAAATAGATCTCAGCTGAAAGCAAAACATACCATAAACATGCTTACCTGGGTATTATTGACTATCCAAAAGACCGTCAATTATGTATAGCAAAACAAATTATGGATAACATGGTTAAAAATAGAAATTTCCAAAACACTTTATTGTGTCCATATGAAATCTCTACATGGACAAAGAGGTAGTTATTCAAATAAAGCAAGGAGATAATGTATTTTTTTTAATCAGGAAAGGTGAATATCAGGGTTATATCCTTTCACCATACTTATTCAATCTTTATAGGAGTCCAGGGGGCAGTAGTTGTTGCACACTGGGCTGC